CAATATACCCACGTATCACTAGGCATCTAGGGCAGGGAGGAGGCAAGCAAAACACACCTCTCTTACTTTTTTTTGACCCCTGCTGTTTATGTTTGCAGTGCCACTATTTTATGGTTTTTTGTTTTTCTTGTATGATAATTTTTTGAAGACCACTTTAATGGAAAGGTCACTTATGCCTGTTTATTTAAAACTAAAATATGAACTGGCTACTGTAAAATTTATAGACGGTTTATAGAGATGTCTTTAAAATCTAGTACAGCACACAGTAACAGTCAATTAAAAAAGTTTATCAAAAATATTTGTAACACAAGAAAATGTTTAAAACAAACCTTTTCCTGAACCAGCCTTTGCAAATGGATTCCACATGACAACATAGCAGAGAACATAGTCATCATGTGCTGTTGAACTTTGTATATTCCAGTTGCAAGTGAATGTATCACTGCTGGTAATCCCACCTTTTCAATCACACTCTGGAAAACACTAGGTGAGTGGCGAGTAATTTTGCATAACGCCTGTATAAAACAAAAAACTCTGTTGAATGTTTTCAGTTTAATAAATGTAAACACATACTTTGTAGCAATATTTTTTCTTATAGGCTAATTTATAGTCTTAAGAACCCTCAAAGCAGCTCTGAGGTTTCAGTAGTGAAACAACACTGTTTCCTAACTTGGCATTTGCTTTCTTCAAAAATCTATGTTTAATTTTAACATGTTAAACAGTGTATTGAAATACAAAACAAATCATTGTTTAACTTGTCGGTTTGCATTTCTTAGTACAGAAAGTACTGATCTGATGTGTAGAGATCTTTCCAATTCTAATTCATTCAAAAGGTTTCTGGAAGTTTCTGGAAGCTTCTCTGCATGAAAGAAGCTTCATGACTGTTTGGGTTATACCTTCAGAGAAGCTGAGGGTACAGATGGCTTGATCTGTTTCTCTTACCTCTTCCAATTCAAGTCATGCTGACTATAAATATAGGCCAGAAGGAGGCTGGGTTTTACTTTCTCTTTCTATCGCTCTTCCTTCTGGTGTGGTGTTCTGTACATAGTATGCTTAGTGCTAAGGTTTAGACATTCTAAGTTACTGTAAGTGCTGCAACTGGAGTTTTATGGACTGTGCCAATCCTGAATGTATTGGATTTGTGACCATTATGCTCATTTGCCTTCAGTAGCAGGTAAAGCTCTACTGGATGAAGTACAATTGCCTCTGGTCTTTTTGGGGGGAACTCTGCTATCTGTTTTAAGTTTTTTCCTCTTCCGGCGCTGGCGCAACCTCACTGTCTTCTATTTATTTCGCCATGGCAGTTCCTGACATTGGGAGGCAGCCTATCACCAGAGCTGCCTTCAGTTTCTCTTCATCCTGTAACACCAGAAACCCAGGTTGAAAAGAAATCAGGCTGGATATAATTAAGCCTTGTTCCAGCAAAGCAATGGGAACAGTCTCCTTTCTTGAACTACTTAAGCATCCCTTAGTTGTTTATATTTGTTACTTGACCTGTGTTGCTTATACCTTTCCTTTAAATAAGGTTCCATATTGGTAAGGTAAAAGATAAAGGACCCCTGGAAGGTTAAGTCCAGTCAAAGGTGACGCAGGGGTTTGCGGTGCTAAATCTCGCTTTCAGGCCGAGGAAGCCAGCGTTTGTCCACTGACAGCTTTCTAGGTCATGTGGCCAGCAGGACTAAACCGCTTCTGGAGCAACGGGACATCTTGACAGAAACCAGAGCACACGGAAACGCCGTTTGCCTTCCCGTCGCAGCAGTATCTATTTATCTACAGTGGTGCCTCGCAAGACGAAATTAATTCGTTCCATGAGTTTTTTCGTCTTGCGATTTTTTTCGTCTTGCGAAGCACGGTGTCAGGAAAGTTTTGGAAAAGCTTCAAAAGTCTTCAAAAACCTCAAAAAAGGGGGGTGCTTGGGAGGGAGGGAGAGGCGGGCGCGGGGCGTGGGGGGAGGCAGGGCAGAGGTTGCTGCCTGAGCCCCCGGGATCAGTTCGGCTCGCCTTGCTCCGACCCTTTGCACTACAGTTGGCGCCGTCTTGCTGCTGCTGCTGCTGTCGCCGCGGTAGTCAAAACTCCTACTGGCCTAAAAGTTGTCTGGTGCAAAATCCCTTCTGCAGCAGCAGCCCGAAAGAAAGCGAGGCGCCAGCCAGCCAGCCGCCCACCGCGGGCAGGAGGGAGGGAGGGAGCGTCGGCGACGGTGGATGCCTATTGCCCCTGTTGCTGCTGCAGCCGGCCAGCCAGCCAGAAGCGCGCGAGCGGGGAGGGTGCATCCAGCCCGTTGGAGAGGAGCGTGGGGGCGCGTCCCCGGTGGCTCCCAAGCTGACCTTGCCTGGCCCGGCGCCTTCCACGCTGCCAAAGGGCGACTCACCTGCTGCCTGCGCTGCGCCGGGACTAACTCAAGCGGGGCGAGGAGAACACACACTCGCGCGCACACACACTGAGAGGCAAACTTGCCGCAGCCGTAGACATCGCGGGGTTGGAAAGCGCCCGGGCAGGCGCTCTTGTCACCGCCGGGGCGCTGGGGGGGGGGAGAAGGAAGGAGCCCCGTCCGAAGAGCCCCGGAGCCTGGCCTCCCTAACTGGGAGTTGTGGGGAGGGAAGTGTGCGCGCCTTGCTATTTTTCGCCGAAACAAAGCTCCCTCTCCCTCAGAACCCGCCTTCACGCGTTCTTGCCCCTACGGAGACACACACCGCGTTCTATGAGTTGCTCCTCGAAGTCAAGTCGCAACTGTATTAACGGTTTTAAGAAAAAGGAAACAAACTTGCAAGAGGTTTCCGTCTTGCGAAGCAAGCCCATAGTGAAAATCGTCTTGCGAAGCAACTCAAAAATGGAAAACCCTTTCGTCTTGCGAGTTTTCCGTCTTGCGAGGCATTCGTCTTGCGAGGCACCACTG